GAGTAATAGCCTTCTCTTCACTTACTCCTCTCAACTTTCAGAGTTTGTTTTGCTTCCTCTTGCACTACACATTGAAAAGTCACAAAGTGTAAATCTTGTCTCCTATTTATCTTGATGTTATTTATTGATCCAGTGGTGAGGATTTTTGTTTTCTTTATATTGAGGCATGCACCTCATACCAAAGGCTATGTATGGTCTTTGATCGTCATCAGTATTTTAAGTCCTCTTTCCTTTGAGCAAGCAAGATTGTATCATCTGCATATCTCAGGTAATCTTCCAACCCTGATGCTGCATTTTTCTTCATATAATCCAGCTTCTGGAATTATTTGCTCAGCATACAGATCGAATAAGTATGGTGAAAGAATACAACATTATCACACACCTTTCCTAATTTTAAATCATTCAGTGTTTCCTTGTTCTGTTCAAATGTCTGCATCTTGGTCTATGTACAGGTTCCTCATGAGCATAATTAAGCATTCCAGAATACTTATTCTCTACAATGTTGTACATAACTTGTCATGATCTATACAATCGAAAGCCTTTGTGTAGTCAATGAAGCATAAATAAACAGCTTTCTTGTATTCTTTGCTTTCAGTCAAGATCCATCTGATGTCTACAATGATATTCCTTGTCCCATGTCCTTATCTGAATGAAACCAGCTTGAACCTCTGGCAGTTCCCTGTCAATGAACGGTTGCAGTCATTTTTTAATTATCTTTAGCAAAATTTTATTTGCATGGGATATTAATGATATATTCCAATAATTTCTGCATTCCATTGAGTCACTTCTCTTTATAATGGCACAAATTCAGATCTCTGCCAATCAGTTGGCCAGGTGGCTGTCTTCCAAATTTCTTAGCATAGATGAGTGAGTGCCTCCAGTGTTACATCAGTTTGTTGAAAGATTTCAATTTGTACTTCATCAATTTCCGATGCCTTGTTCTTTGCCAATGCCTTCAGTATCGGCTTTTAATCATATGCTCTTAATCTTAATCTTGAGCTTGGACTTCTTCCTTTAATACTATTTAGTACTATTGGTTCTTGATCATATGCTACGTCTTGAAATGGTGGAACATCAACCATTTCTTTTTGGTACAGTGACTCTGTATATTCCTTCCATTTTCTTTTGATGCTTTCTGCATCATTCAATAGTTTATCCATAGAATTCTTCAATACTGCAAGTCAAACTGAATTTTTTCTTCAGTTCTCTCAGCTTGAGAAATGCTGACTGTGTTCTTCCCTTTTGGTTTTCTAAATCCAGATCTATGCAAATTTCATTAGAATATTTAACTTTGTGCTGCCCTTTGACTTTTTCTGTTCAGCTCCTTTACCTCCTCATTTCTTCCATTTTCTTTAGCATCTATATCTACTTTGGAGAGCAAGTTTCAGAGTCTATTCTGACATTCATTTTGGTCTTTTCTTCTTTCCTGACTTCTTACTTCTTACTTCTACTTCCTGTAGGATGTTCTTGATGTCATCCCACAACTCTTCTGGTCTTTGATCATTAATGTCTAATGCATCAAATCTGTTCTTGATCTGATCTCTAAATTCAAGGTCATATTTTGGCTCTCATGGACATATTTTAATTTTCTTCAACTTCAGCCTGAACTTGCATATGAGCAGTTGACCGTCTGTTCCACACCTTGTTTTGACTGATGATACGGAGGTTTTCCACAGTCTCTTTCCACAGATGCAGTCAGTTTG